GACTGAGCCCCCCAGGAGCCCCTAAAAAAATTTTTTTTATTGAGCTATAATCAACATAGAACATTATATTAGATTTAGGTGTACAACCTAATGATTCAATATTTATATATATTATGAAACAGTCACCACACAAGTCTCCATCACATCACCATACATAGTTACAAATTTGTTTTTTGTGATGAGAACTTTTAGCATCTTCTCTCTTAGCAACTTGTAAATATGCAGTACAATATCATTAACTATTACTAACTATGGTCACCATGTTATATATTACATCCTTAATGATACTATATTTTTAATTTCAAATGCCACTTATTCATTGCTGGTATACAGGAAAGCAGTTAACTTTTACATATTAACTTTGTATCCTACGACCAGGTAATTAACTTTTTAAACGCTTCTAGCATTGTGCAATATGGGTGGAATAGATTTTCTTAAAATTGCCAACTGCACTTCAGTATACATTTTTAACTCCTTCAGGTACAGAGACATCCACCAATCTCCATCAAAAGCTCTGTTACCATGTGTTGGGAACTGATCAGTCAGAAGATATTTTGTGTGCTGAGTTTCCTGATGAGCCTAAGTGGATGGGTGGAGCTGAGGTATGGTATTTCTCTGAGATTGCCCCACAAACTCGATGTCACATGGACTGTGTATATGGATATTCTTGTTGTATGATTTTTATGGATGTGCTAAGTCCTGTGAGTGAATATTCTCATGTTAAAAATATTGGTATTCAAATGGACTCTTAATAGTGAAGGTGATGATAAACCTTTTAACTGCAATTTCAACATAAAACCCTTAATACAAAGTAATACATGCTTATGGTTAAAAAAAAAAAAGTGAAAGTACAGTATCACATAAAGCAAATCGTGAACATTTTGAAATTCAGAATCTTATGTCTCAGAGGTGAGGAAAGTATCCTTCCAAAAAATTTTCTTTGTGTAAGTGAGAATGTGGGGGGAGAGAGAGTATATGTTTTCCTTTTTTTAACACAGCTTTCCTCTTTGTGCATATTGTTCACTTGTTTTTACTTTAAAATGTGTATTTTCATACATTTTCCCATCTGATAGAAGGTCAGGTATTCCTTGGGAGTCTTGACCATAACAAAACTGTATTTGAAGTCTTTGAAGTTACTGGCCCAGATTTTATTCTGTATCTTGAGAATCAACTGTGAAAAGACTTAGAGGTACTTGGAGTAAAAATTTAACTCTTGTTAGTTCATTTCTGGGTATAAGAAATATTTTTTAAAGAAAAGCATTCTGAATGTTTTGATATAGGTGGGCTGTTGGCCCATTTTTTAGTGGGAATGAGAAATCCACTAGAAAGTCTTTAGCTCATGGAGCCACTTACTTAGAACTTTGATAAAAAAGGAACATTTGATATTTGAACTTGGTCTCCTGGGTCTGGTTCACTGGGGGATAGAATAGTAACCCATAGTATTTTAGTTGATGTGCATTGATATACCTTATCCCAGATTGTTCTTATATTTATTTATTTTGTTTCCCTAGACCAGGGGTTGGCAAACTACTGCCTGCCTTCAGGCCACATTTGGCCTGCTGTCAGCTTTAATAAATAAAGCTTCATCAGAACACAGCCACACTGTTTGTTTCGTATTGTCTGGGGCTGCTTTCAGGCTGCAGTATCAGGGTTGAGTCGCTGCAAAAGGCTCCATGGCCCACAAAGCTGAAAATATTTACTTTCTGGCCCTTAATAGAAAAAACTTGCTAGACTTTAATGCAGCGTATTAAAAGTGAATTTATAGGACTTTTATGACCTGAAATTATATCCTTTTTTCACGCTTTTTCCTTCTCACTGAAGTGCCCCCCCCCGCCCATGAGCTTTCCTTGTGTAGTTACTATTGTCATTTTTTCACCTGTTTGTTTTTAATGGCTTTCTGACTCTATTTGTATACTGTTTCTACTGTTTCCTTCTTAGTTCAGCTTCTCCTCCTACCTAAGTCTTCTGGTTACTATGGATAATAGGTGTTGGTTTGTAAAATAATATACATTTTTACTGTCATCTGAGTGAAACATTAAGGAAGATGAATATGCTACCAAACAATGTTTTAATGTCAGATCATGTGTTTATCTTTTTGGAGAGAAGGTATTGATGGGGAAAACCTAAAATAATGTATTTTAATAATCAGTTTTATTCCCCATGGGATTCTTCATCATAAAATCAAAGACATTCCTAGAGAAGTTTTTATACTTCAAAGCTAATAATTTCATTACAGCAGACCCATTTTAATCAAGGTAAGTGTATTTGGTTGATATAGTAACATGGATACTGAAAATAAATGCCAGAATATTTATGTAATTTAGCACATTGGTCTAAAAGGAAACAAGCTTTATAGTAGAACATGCGAGCAGCTCAAGTTGCTCAAGTTGCTTGGATCTCTCTTAGTGTTTGGTTGCTCAAGTTGCTTGGATCTCTCTTAGTGTTTGGTTGAAGCAGTTAGGTTTTTGGTTGGTTGGTTTGTTTTCTTTACTTTACTTTTAAATTGTGGTAAAATATAATAACAAAATTTACTGGTTTAATCATTTTTAAGTATAGAGTTAAGTGGCATTAAATACACTGACATTATTGTGCAACTATCACCACCATATATCTCCAAAACTTTTTTCATCTTGCAAAACTGAAACTGTCCCCATTAAGCAGTAACTCCCCATCTCCCCTGGCAACCATCCCTCTCCTTTCTGTCTCTCTGTGTTGCACTATTCTAGGTGTCTCATATAAATGTCATCATACAGTATTTGTCCTTTTGTGACTGGCTGTTTGACTTAGCGTGAAGTCCTTAGGTTCATCCATGTTGTAGCATGTGTCAGAATCTCCTCCCTTTTTATAGTTGAATAATATTCCATTGTGGGTATACACCATATTTTATTCCTTCATCTGTTGATGGACACTTGGTGTGTTTCCATAGCATTATTGTGAGCACCCAGTTTTTTAAAATACAGTGAAGGGCGCCTGGGTGGCTCAGTCAGTTAAGCATCCGATTCTTGATTTTGGCTCGGGTCATGATCTCAGGGTCGTGAGATCGAGCCCCGTGTTGGGCTCCTCGCTGGGCGTGGAGTCTGCTTGAGATTCTCACTCTCCCTCTCCCCCTCCACCCCTACTTGCTTGCTCATGCTCTCTCAAAAAAAATAAAAAATAAAAATATAGTGGAGCTATATATGTATTTAACATATGTGCATTCAATTCTACTAGGAAAGTGAAAAGAAAAGCAGATTTAAGTAGTTGATGTGATCCTTCTACCATTCATTAAAAAGATGTTCACTCTATGTAAATTATCTAATATAATCTTTACCAAAGCCTCGAAAAGGAGGTGATCATTCCATTGCATGGACAAAGTGAAATGCCTGCCAGAGAGATTAACTTGCAAGCCCATGGCTGGAACTTGCCTGCTGAGTGTGTTAGACCCCATAGCCTGTGTCTTCCTAACCACGTGCACTCAGCCTCTCTGGTCTAAAGGAAAGAAGTCTTGCAGTAACGGCAGCAAAGACTGTCGAAAGGATAGCAGTAACGGAGGGGATGCATCTGTACTGCACAGAAGTAGTAAAGTTGTTAAAAAACTAAAGGGACATAGATGGTGGGTCCTAAGGAACTTTGTATTGGATCAGAGCCTAATAGTGAATGATGCAGAGGAAGTCTGCGAAAACCAGCAGTCTTGGTAAGCACACACTGGGTGTAGTCTTCCTTGAAGCTGTATTCCAGCTACTTGGATGTCTTGTTACAACGGGTGACAGACACCCACCAGGTGCCCGGGTTGGTTGCTTCATGACCACGCTCTTGATGCGTGGTATTTTTCAAGTAGTTGCTTTGGGGATCATCATTTTGAACCCAGTATTTTGTTAATACCTTTAACACTTTAACAGTGACTGAATAGAGAACTAGTGTTACAGTGATGGTGTACTATCACAGAAATTCGGACATTTTATCCTCGTCCTGTCGGTGCAGCCTTGGACACTTCCCTTGTCTCCAGATCTCTTTCCTTCATTTCCCCCGGGGCCTTTTCAGCTCTGAAAGTCTATGGACAGAGGCTTTTTTTTTTTTTTTTAAAGATTTTATTTATTTATTTGACAGAGAGAGACACAGCGAGAGAGGGACACAAGCAGGGGGAGTGGGAGAGGGAGAAGCAGGCCTCCCGCTGAGCAGGGAGCCCGATGCGGGGCTCGATCCCAGGACCCTGGGATCATGACCCGAGCCAAAGGCAGACGCTCAACGACTGAGCCACCCAGGTGCCCCATGGACAGAGGCTTTAGCACAACATCTCACCGACCCTGACGCAGGCTTCCTGGGTGAGGAGGTAGCTGCTGGATGTGAGAGCAACTTGGGCTTTGTGGGTGTGGTTGGAGGGGTCTTTGGGGTGGACGGCCAGCTGAGCTTGTGGACGTGTGTGGATTTCTCCGGCGAGCTGCCATACTCCTCCCTTTGGGCTGCTGCAGTCCAGGTTCACTGAGGACTTCCCTTTGAATCCTAGACACTGTCTCCTTATGACTCCTTTTCCTTCATAGATGCCTCCTCTGCCTTCCTGCATGGACAGGTCTTCTTGCCTTGAGCAGTCCATCACATACAACCAGGAAGCAGCTTTAGTGTTTCCATCATTGCCCGTGACACCATCTGCCCCAGGATGACTGACTTCCATCTAGCAGAACCCATAGCTTTCAGGACATTTTGGAGTATTAGAACTGTTACGAAGGATCCACTGCAGTCCAAAGCAAAATATTAGTCTCTCCAATTTACATGCTTCTTCCCTCTGCCCAGCTCCTGTTTGGTGAGCACATGGGGGACTGGCAGGGGAATAGGGACTACTCAACCCCCTGGTTGGTGGTTTACTTATTTATTTTTTTCCATACAAAGACTTTATTGAAGATACCCTCAAACTAGCACAGCCCAAATACCCATTATCAAGTGCATGAATGAATGAATGAATTGTGGTACATCTCTACAATAGAATAGTACTACTCAGCAGTAAAAAGGAACAAACTGTTGATATATTCAACAACAGGGATGAATCTCAAAATAATTCTGCTCAGTGAAAGCCAAAGAAAGGAGTATACAGGACTACAGAGTGTTTGATTCCATTTATAGAACGCTCTGGAAAATGCAGACTAGTCTGTAATGGCATAAAACAGATCAGTGGTTGCTTGGGGACGGGGCTGGGGAACAGGAGGGAGGGGATATGAAGGCGCAGGAGGAAACTCTGGAGGATGATCAGACTGGGACACTGGGATTGACGTTTTCCAGGTGAGGCCATTCTGAGCAATGGACAGCATCTCCAATTCTCTCCCCTCGGTTATTCATTGTGGATTAGTTTCTCCAGCGACCTTGCAGGGAGGAGGAGTTGGAGGAGGGGAACGGGGTTCTTGCTCCTCCAGAGCTTTTTGTCGGTGTCTGGTTGCCACCATCTGCTTGCAGTCATGACCGGTATCTTGGTGCCGGCTTCCTCATGGCATCCTTTTGTAGTGAGATACCCTCCATTCTGGGAACCTGTGTGCTGTTCTCTGTGGTGGATAATAAACTCTGGCTCACATTTGTGTTGCCTTCCAAGGCTTCTGCTCCCAGCAGGATTCCCTCCGTAGCTCCCCTCTTCCATCCTTTTTCTGCCAGGACCTTTCAAGATGACTGGAGGGAGGCTACCTTCCTGGTGTCTCTTGTTCTGAGGGAAGCGACCTCCATGGGTTGCTCCATCCTGGAAGGGCGGGTGCTGGTCACCACTGCTCTCCTCATCTGCCAGGCGGGGGCCTCCTCCCTCATGCCCCTGGGGTAACATGACACCTGTCTAGCATTGGGCTTAGAGGGACAGTGGTGTCAATTATTTAACATAGACTATAAGGCTTTACCTGGAAGGCAGGATTGTGGGGGAATAGAAATCGTTTTAAAAGATTCTACTAGATCCAAAAAAAAAAAAATTCCCTTTATTTTAAAGTAATTCCGAGAGCATTTGGGGGGGCGGGTGTGGAAACAAGGAGATCAAGTATTTTGAGGCACTTTTCCCAGCAGAGGGTGCTCTAGAATGAAGATTCTGAAAATGTGTCAAGTACCTTTAGAAAGGACTAAGGGGAAAATGCCCAGCCTCTTTGTGACTGTCTAGCTGAATTCTATATTGAGAACCTAATTCTGTCTTAACCAAGTTTTGAAAACGGGGCTTCTTTTTTACAAAGGTAATCCTAATCTTGATGTTTATCACGTATCTCTATAGCCATTTTTATATGTTCACTTGTGATCCCTAGTTGTTCAAGTATGTGTATATTTGTGTAGACATTTATATATTATATGTATACATTAACATGTAAAATCACTGCCTGATGCTTGACTCCGTGGGCACACAGTGAGCGTTAGTTTCCTTCCCCTCTGTTGAGGTTCGTGCACGTGAAGACCCTCGAGGCCTGGTGTGCACCCAGCTTTGCCTCACGAAGCATAGACGGCCTAGGTGTCTGGGTGTCCCTCAGGGAATTCCGCCTCACCTGCCCCTCACTCACTGGAAAGCGCTGGCTGGGAGCAGTCATTGTTCAGCAGCCCTCTTCCTGGTCAGCATACTTCATGCATCTATTCCCCGGGGGCCCAGGAAGCCATTGGCTTGGTGCACCCAGGTGCTAGGGCCAGGCGATCCTCAGGAGCACAGACCGGCATGCTCTGGACCTTTGGAAGATGTTCTTGTTGTAGTCAACTCTTCTATTTATAAACACTTTACAATATTGCCAAGGGGCTTGGGGCTCATGACACAATTTCCATCATGTTCTGTTTGTCTGTTGTTTTAAAGACCCTTTGTCCTCCTGACCTGAGCTGGCGGCTGCCAGTGTGTTATCGGTGAGTCTTCATTTCCTTTTGCTCTGCCGGAGGGCCTGTATTTTCCCCCCAACTCCCAGAGCGGCTGAGTGCTTGTCTTTCTGTCGGTCCCGGGGTGGATTCCCAACCTGGCTGTGCGTGTCCGTGGCTCATCACCCGGGTCCTCTCTCTCATCAGCACCGCAAGGCGTGATAATATCCATCACTGATCCATGCTGATTAGTAGCGGGTGGGAAAATCCCAGCACACGGTGGGGAAGAAAAGTCAGGAAGCCACACAACAGACTGGAATTTGAGTAAAGCTAGAAAGCAGTGCCGCTCTGTATACGTGGAACAGCTCCTGACAGGAGAGAGTTGGTTTTGGTAGCAGTAGGGTTGGAGTTGCTGATCAGTCGCTTCTCACCTGACCCCTCTTGGCCAGTAAGGGAGAAAAGAAAACAAACAGTAGATTCTTAAACAACAGTAGCGGCTCTATCATGTGAAGATCTATGTTACTTGTTTCACTTTGAACGCAGGTTCCCCCCCCCCCTAAAATCTTCTGGCATACTGAGGAAGGAACACCTCATATAGGATTTGGGTCGATTTCGGTTTTCGCCCACTGCTGTAGGACCACACTGTATTGGGAAAGCTGCGTGCTCTGTTGAATGACGACCTGTTGGGAGATGTTTATGCTAACACACATCACATGAACCTATGACTACCCCTGTCCGTGTGTACTATGCTACTCCTATTGTTATACAACTCCATAATGAGTCCCGTTAGTGAGAAGCCATCATTGTAGGTGATTAGTTTGACCTTTAAAAGTTTTCCCAGATTAAGTTTTGGAAACATACTTAATATTAAAGAGATGATGTTGTGATTCACTACTATTATGAAGGGAATCCAAAAGAGACCATGAAATAAAATGGATAAAGTTTCCTGCTCTGAGAGGAACATGAATAACTCCCAAAGCTATTAAAACCCATTTTCATTCCTTTTGTTAATGTTCCAGACAATTTTAAGTCTCACTGCTTTTTAGGATACTTTTTTTAATATACACAATTCTTTTGTCATAATATGTAAAAGGAATACTTTCCTCAATTTGAAAAAGTGCACGTAGATTCAAATGATGAAAAAAAAACTTTATTTACTTCATGTTGGATTCCAAGTGGAAATTAGTATATGTACCAAAGAAATTTCATGTCTGTGGAGATTTGGTTATTAACACAAGACCACATGACTGGGGCTCAGTAGCTCTCACATAAAATAGCTTATGAGCTGTTCTTTGAAAATGATAATATGTTTGGGGCGCTTGAGTGGCTCAATCGGTTAAGTGTCTGCCTTCGGCTCAGGTCATGATCCTGGGGTCCTGGAATCCAGCCCTGTGTTGGGCTCCCTGCTCAGCGAGGAGCCTGCTTCTCTCTCTCTGTCAAATAAGTCAAATCTTTTTTAAAAAAAGAAAAATAATATGTTCGATGAAAGTCCACATCATTATACACACACACACACACACACACACACACACATAAATATTGGCTATGTGTCCTTGTTGTTTTGAAAAACACCTTTGGAGGGGCACCTGGGTGGCTCAGTTGGTTAAGCATCTACCTTCGGCTCAGGTCATGATCCCAGGGTCCTGGGAAGAATCCCACATCGGGCTCCCTGCTCAGTGGGGAGTCTGCTTCTCTCTCTGCCCTTCACCCCACTCTCTCTCGCTCTCTCTCTCTCTCTCAAATAAGTAAAATCTTTTAAAAAAAGAAAAAAACACCTTTGTAGATAAATGATTGGGAGTTTACAACATTAAGTGATCTTCTGTTCATTTTTTCTTAACATGAGATGCATAAAGAAAAGTTAGTTGATTCAGGTCATTTAGAAAGCCCACCTGTTCTTATTGTATAGTATTGAGACTGAGAATAGCCAAATTCAATGAATTTAAAATTTTTATAATACTAGTAATAGTAATAACAACATAGGTTTATTGTTTAAAATAAACTACAAAGATCCCATTTTCCAGAAAAACTGCTAGTATTGTCATATTCTATTTCACACTCATTTCTGTAAATTCATTTAAAAAAAAAAAATGAATGGATGATAAAGCTGATAACATGTAAATATGGAGCAGCTATGATCCAGACTCTGGTCTGAATGGATCACTGTCACACCTATGTGAGGCATTGACTGAAGACATTTGATAAAAACATATTATTTGGGACTAGATTCTCCTGAGGTGTTTTCCGGTTGCTGCTTATCTTTTTAAATTCTGTGGTGTTATGGCTCCTGGGTTTGTAGAAATTATATCCTGGATGTGCTGAATCATGTGAATTTTGTGTTTGTTGGAGCAGCATATGTGAACCTAACAGAATAAAGTACAAAATACATACTCCATTTTACAGTTTGAGGTCTGTCAGGGTTTCCTTATATCATCACCTCAGTGTAGCGTAATACCACAATATACACAACTGAAATTTCTTAGTGAATTAATGTGGCTTCTTTAATGAAAGTGTAAAGTCTGATAACCCCATACCTTATGCCCTTTTGGTAAGTGTCAGTGAGTATGGCAGCCAATTCCTGGATCCCCTCTTCAAGGTTTTCTCCAGTACCACAAAATATGCCAAGCTGAGAAACCACAAAGGCTAGATGGTAGCACTTCTTTCCACACTTCTCTGGCCTCCTTTTGGGGGAGTTTTCCTCAATCAGGGCTTCTCAGTGGCTAAAGATGAGGGAGGTTGGGAGTTCTCAGCTTCACCGATTCATAGTGCTGAGGCACATTCTTCGTAAGCACCTTATCGGCAGTCAGGTTGTTAACTGCTGGCTCTTGTTTCATTTCTAGAGGATGAACTAGGAGAAGCGCATTGTTTGTTGGGCCTGCCCCGGAGACCGCGTGGAAGCATAGTAGTCGTAGGCTGTGCCAGGTTACACACTGCGTGTGCACAGGGTATTGTGATGCTTTGCACGCTGTCACAGGCCAGGGTCCTTGGAAAGCGGGCCGGAAGTTGAACGGGAGTGCTTTCAGGACCTGTGTGCGGAGCGAGGGCAGAGAGGAAGGAGTTGAACTGTCATGCGGTCATTACAAAGACCTCAGCCAGTCCCACAGCGAGCTCTCAGGCTGGGCTGGCCTTCAGCATTTTCCTGACTGGGGGCTTTATACCCTTGAGTTAGTCAGTCATTACATGTGGGAAGACCCTGAAAGGATTTGTGGCCTTGGGAGAGGCGGTTCTCTCCGACCCGGGGACAGGCCTGGCGGTTCTCAGCCGAGCACTGCCCGCTCCTGGCACCCGGCAGACCACAGCGGCCACTGCGTATGCTGCCGTCCAGTGGCAGGCTGGACGCTTGAGAGTGAATATCGGTAGCTCGCAGGTGTGTCAGCGTAGTTCTGGGAACCAGATAGCTACGCCCCCGTAGCAGTTGTAAGAAGGCCAAATTCAAGGAACCATTTTGAGAGGAATTCTGCATCTCTTTTAAAATCACTTAAGGACCATCCCTCCCCCAAAGCCGCCTCAGAGCTCACTCCTCCTCCACCTCCCCTCCCTGTTAGCCGCCCTTCTCTGCACTCCCTTCATACTCGGCACTTCTCGCTATTCATGTTCTGTAATGTTCATCTGTGTGCACGTGCGTGTCCATCTCTCTCTCCCATCTGAGCACGAGCTCTTCGAGGCCCTGTGCTATTGATCTGTGTGTTTTAGAACCTGGTTCAGCAGTGGCCGGCTCTCAGTAAATGTTGGCTAAATAAACGGCCTCCGCCCCGACTCCCCGAATAGTGGCCGGCTGTGTTTGATGGCATATGTTAAATCATGTCCTGTTAAAACCAGCCACTGTGGTGACGGTAGTGGTGTCCAGCCCCACCCACCCCAGAAGCAAGGGAGCTGGGGCTGGGGCAGCTTTTGCATTTGTTTCTCTCTGTTGAGGTTTGCCTGTTATGGATAATGAAAGGCATTTATAAATGGGTAAAGAATGGTTATTTATGAGTATATAAAGAATGATAGCTTTAAGGGGCGCCTGGGTGGCTCAGATAGTTAAGCGTGTGCCTTCGGCTCAGGTCATGATCCCAGCGTCCTGGGATCGAGCCCCACATCAGGCTCCCTGCCCAGCGGGGAGCCTGCTTCTCCTTTTCCCTCTGCCTCTCTCCCTGCTCATTCTCTCTCTCTCTCTCTCTCTCTCTGTATCTCTGTGTCTCAAATAAATAAAATCTTTAAAAAAAAAAAAAAAGAGGGGCGCCTGGGTGGCTCAGTCGTTAAGCGTCTGCCTTCGGCTC